TGGTGGATAGTTGGTGGTTTGGGATAACAAAATGAGACGGAGCCCAAGCAGCAATTGGGAGTTCGGTAGGCCGAGTTATGGGTGTTTCTGTACTAGTGTATGGGAAGGAAGTTTCGACAAAGTCGACATGACGAGAAATATATAAACGGGATTTCACAGGGTCAAAGCACTTATAACCACTTTGATTTTCAGCGTAACCGAGAAAAATACAAGGTGCAGACCTTGGTTGCAACTTATTTTGGTTATATGGTCGAAGCCATGGATAGCACAAACATCCAAAAACTCGAAGCTTTGAGTAATTTGGATGTCGGCCAAAAAGGGTTAAAAATGGTGAATTATTATTAAGAATTGGTGTGGTCATGCGGTTAATTAAATAAGTTGCAGCCTGGAAAGCAAATGACCAGAATGTTAATGGTAAGTTTGCCTGATGAAGTAAGGTGAGGCCTGTCTCCACAATATGGCGATGGCGGCGTTCGGCAGTAGCATTGTGTTCAGGTGTATGGGATGGTGTAAGGAAATGAGAGATTCCATTTTCTTCAAAAAAGGAACGCAAATGTATAAATTCTCCACCATTATCAGAGTAAAAGGAGATAATTTTCTTTTGAAAATAGTTCTCGACAATATTTTTGAACTTAGGAAAAATAGTGGAGACTTCAGATTTTCGTTTCATCGGAAAAAACCAAACATATTTTGTGAAATGATCAACGAAGATTAGATAATACCGAAAATCGTTTATAGATATGATAGGTGCCGGACCCCAAACATCGGAATAAATCATTTCTAATGGAGAAGAACTTTTTATTGTAGATTGATAAAATGGAGATTTGTGCATTTTATTGCACTTGCAGGAATTACAAAAGAAGTGTTGGTCTGTGGTGGGGGACGAGATATGCATAATTTGGAGAATTTGGCGAAGAGTTCGAGTAGGAGGATGGCCTAGCCACCGATGCCATTGTGGAGCAGTAGTAGTGGCTATTGTGTGGGCTTGTGGTTGTATAGGTGTTGCTGGTGTAGTGTTAGGAAAATTGGTAGGCCATGGATATACGCCGTCTCTAGGCTTCCCTGCCTGTAGATGTGCCCCCGTTCGATAATCCTTTACAACAAACGAAAATGGTGAGAACTCGACTGTAACATTATTAGTAGAACATAATTGATACACAGATATAAGATTCTTTTGCATTTTTGGGACACAAAGAACATTAGAAAGGTGAAGAGGGCGAGATAAACAAGGTAATGAGAGAGAACCCGTATACGAGATTTGATGATTTTTACCATCCCCTAGCATGATTTCCTCACTACCATCATATTCAGAGTGAAGAGATAAATTATGGAAATCTTGCGTAACATGGTGGGATGCACCGGAGTCCAAAAGCCATGTAGTGTCATTGTTGGCCGATCGAGAGGTGTAGTTGGCCTGGGGTTTTGGATTAGACGGCCTGGTTCCATGGTTGCTGCTATGTGGTGGTTCCGAAAGCCACGTAGATAGAGCAAGAAGTCTGCGGCATTGTCGAGCAACATGACCAGGCTTCTCGCAGATCTGACAAGTTACTCGTGGACGGTTGCTTTGATACCCTTGGCTGAAAGAAGGCCGAGGTGATGGATATGGTGGTCCTTGATGCTTTCCAGAAACAAAGGAACTATGAGACGATCTTTTTCCACGATAGCGAGAGGAGGTAGATGGTTTGGCAACATAATTTGCAACAATAGGAGAGGTGTTTGCGGTCTCGCGGGAGAGATACAACTCAAAATCTGTGAGTTTTTCATGAAGTTCTTGAAAGCTAATGCTGGAGTCACGGGCTCGAAATGCAGCAGCAATTTCTTTATATTCAGAAGGGAGACCATGGAGAACGTGTAACACGATTTCATCCATGGAGATACGAACACCGGCGGCGGCTAGTTGCCCGGATGTCTGCTTGATCTTTTGAAGGAACTCAGTAACCGACATAGATCCTTTCTTCATGCTGCTTAATGATTCTCGAAGACTCATAATACGGCTTCGAGATGGTTTAGCATAAGTATCGGCAAGAGTGTGCCATACGTCGTAGGAAGTCTTGGCATCAACGACGAACGGAATGAGTTCGGCTGATAATGAACCAATCAAAGCGTTGCGGAGTAATTGATCTTGACAAAACCAATATTCATTCTGGTATTGATCAATGGTTGTTTCGGTTTCAATAAATTTAAGAAATTTGTAACCACATAGAAGTGAATACCATTGGGTGTGCCATGACTGGTAGTTTGTGGGTGTAAGTTTAATGGGAGTTTGGGTTGCGGCATTGATGGAGATGAGATGATTGTTGGTTGAAGTATCGATAGTTTGTGGTGGGAGGGATGCGGGTGTAGTGGGTGGAGTGGTGGTGGGGGTGGAATTTTGGCTATCACCAGCCATAGTTGCAAAAAAAAAAATGAAAAAAAAAATATGAATTGGTGGATCAGAGTTGCCGTGAGGCTGGTGGCTCTGATGCCATAAAAGAGTCTCACAAGCTTCTACTATTCACACTTGATTGATGTACAGAGAATGAATTTATACAAGATAATTGACTCAATCAAGCCTTAATTGAGTTATTCTAATCACGTCAAATCTGGAGGAAAATATTATAACAGAATTACGTAAATAAGGGAATTAGCTAATCATGTAAATAAGGAAATAAGCTAGGATGGAGTGATATCCTTGATAGTAGCAACATCCCAGCCTTCAATGGATGAATGATTAAAGTTTGAAGATTCCCAAGGTTTGTAATGGTTGTTGGAATCTCAATTGGATAGGGAAAAGCAAGGTACCTTAAATTAGATAACTCGAATACTTGATCGGGGAGCGTCACTATACTTCTATAACCAAACATGTTGATGGAAGAAGCTCCAAAACATATAATTTTGAGAAATCTAAAATCTCCTAAATCCTTATATGGACCAAGATGGTTGACGAGGAAGCACATAATGGTACGGATGGTTGGGCAATATTTGCTTGCAAGGCACTTCAAATCATAGGACTGTAATGGTACGGATGTAATATTTGAGAATATAAACGGGAGTTCAATAATTATTTGGTAGTGGAAAATAAATAATTATTTAATGATTAATTAAATGAATTCTTTTAAGAGTTTGGATTTAATTAATTATTAGTTGCATGGTTTATATTTTCTCCTTTAGTTCCTATTGTAGTCCAATGGATTTTCTAATTAATCGAGAAAATAAAGTCCAACCAATATTATATATTGGAATTAATATAGCCGAAAATTAAGTCCCCATTGGACTGCAATTTTCGACTATATAGAGTTATAGAAGGAGTGAGATTTGTTTCCATGTAATCCTCTCTATGTGTGACTTTAATTCCTTGTGTTGTATATAATAGAGATTAGGTTGATGAGAGTGGGATAAGACTACACGCCTATTTCATGTGAAGAGAAATTATTTTTCTCTTCTTCTTTTCTCTCTAAGTTTCTCGATTATAGATTTAGATTTCTTCAAGTACATGTCCACCCTTGTAGAAGAATTATTAATCCGGGACATATAATAGAAAGATTATGGGGATGTTTGGTTATGTTTCTAATGAGATTTTCTAGTTTTCAAAATTTCTAATGGAAAAAATAAATGTATTGGTTTTTGTGTAGAAAATTAGATTTATGTTTGGATGAAGTAAAATTTTTAGTTTTATATAGGTATGGAAAATGAAAGTATATTTGGTTGTGTGTTTTCTACATGAAAATACGTGTAAAAGTAGAATATACATGATTGGATATAATTGTGATGACGATGATGATGGTGGTGGTAGTTATTCTTATTATTATTATTATTATTATTATTATTATTATTATTATTATTATTATTATTATTATTATTATTATTATTATTATTATTATTATTATTATTATTATTATTATTATTATTATTATTATTATTATTATTATTATTATTATTATTATTATTATTATTATTATTATTATTATTATTATTATTATTATTATTATTATTATTATTATTATTATTATTATTATTATTATTATTATAAGATTAAAAAAAAAAAAGGGAATGTGGAATTATGAATGAAGACAGATAAATGGGAGGGGAGACAGAATGTGGATTTTAATGAGGAGAGAGGAATTGGAGGAGAGAGAATCTGAATTCTAATGAAGAGAGGGAGTGTGAATATTAATGAGGATAGAGAAATTGGAGGAGAGAGAGTGTGAATATTAATGATGAAAGATGAATAAAATGAGAGAGAGAAATGAGTTGAATGAATAAAATATATAGGTTAGTAGGTATTAGTAGGTTTGAAAGTTGGAAAAAGTATGAATAGTGTATTTCCATTGGAAATTTTGATAGGAAAAAGTGTGTGTTTTCAAGTAGTTTTATGAATAGTATAGAAGTTGAAAATGGATTTGGAAATGAAAAAAAACATGCCCTATAGATTTTTAGAGCAAACTATTATTCTCGAAATTTCTGAGCAGTCCTGCGAAGAAATTCACCATAAATCAATCGTTCATCCGATTGGCTTGAAATTTACACAGTTGCTTCCTAACTCATAGTACTAATAATATCTCCAAAGGGTTTCTCCATCAGATTAACCATATCGGAGATATTGGTGAAGGAAGAAGGCTGTAAATTTCTGAACAGCAGTTTTTCGAGGATTGAAGGCTTGGTGTGGATCCTCGTTTGTGTGCCGAAGATAGAAACGAACCTGCTCGGGAAAATTATAAGTTGCTAGATTAGATTTATTCCGTTTTAAACGAATCTAATAGAAGCATGATAATAAAATTAAAACCGACCAATCTATAACCTCTTGCGAATTTTCATTGAATCCTGGACTTCACACCCCAACAGTAATAACTAGCTCCAAGCAACAAAATAACTACATAGCCAATATACAGTTCAATCACAACTTTTATGAATCAAATCCACCTTGTCCTTAACTTTTACATAACTCAAAAGTTTTTTCAAGAAGTAGGAAAAAAAAACTCAAGAAACTTTTAATTCCTGTCTGAGTTATTAAGATGACGAATTTAAAATATACAATTCAAACAACGAACTTGAATGTCGTCATTCCGGTAATCTTGTTGTTCCTCTCGCATTCTTTTCGCCCACCCCGCAATAGATTCGGTGCAGAACTTAACCTCAATTAGTTCAAGTGTCGGAATTTCTCCAACACCATCCGAAATCTCTATTAGATATGAACAATCATGGAGCAATACGCGTTCGAGCTTCGGGAAGTGGTTGCTTTCGGTTACCCAATACTTGAGTTTTGAGTATTCAATCATCAGATGTTTGAGCTCAATAAATCCCCCCTCGCTCGTTTCCCATGTCTCCCCGTCGAAGCCGTGATTTCTTATTTTAAGCACTTGAAGATTAGGCAGCGAGCCAACAACCGTCATTTCACTCCACGGACGTCTCCCGCCTCTAATGGTTAACCATTTCAGCGTCTTGGGAAAAGCCGGCGTAATCTTTTCCCACCTGCTCGAAGACCAAAAATAAGGAACAGTTAGTTTCAATCTCTCGAGTTGCTTCAGGTGTACAAGATCGTCAAGGTGGTACTCTTCTTCTTGGTGTTCCTTAGTGTAAAAAATTGCCAACTCCTTAACGTTTGGAATCATTTTGAGGATGGTTCGAGTACATATAAGATCCGTTACTTCCCAAAGTGTTTGCAGTTTTACTAGACCACGACTACTAGTACTTGCTCCCTCCTCTGGATTCGGTAATTGGCCGAATTTTCGGTAGCACACGAGATGCCTCAGGTCGGCCATCCTCCAAATTTCCGGAGGAAGAGATATGAACGACACTGGATGAATGATTAAAGTTTGAAGGTTTTGAAGGTTTGAAATGGATGGTGGAATATCCATACGGAAGTCGAAAGCAATGTACCTTAAATGAAAGAACTTAAACACTTGTGCAAGAAGCTTCATAATATCAGCATAATTCAACATAGAGTCGTCAGTACTCACCAAATCCAATATCCTGAGGGATTTAAAGTATTGTATATGAAAACGTAAACCGATCACCCTGAAGCATATCATAGTATGGATGGTTCGGTGATCAACGTTTAAATCGTATTGATTGAAAAATATGCGGCGCTGATTTTCTATATTGTTCGTGGGAGCTTGTCCATACATGACATGCAGAAACTTCTCGTGTTGGGCTATTCTTATGCACAATTTACGCATCAGGTCATGAACTCGGCATGTTTTGATTTTTCCATTCGACTTCCTCTTTGAGAGCATAACAAGACTTCTCTTCACAAGATCCTCCAAATATTCTTCTTCTGCAGCCTCTTCCAGGCTTCTACATTCACTTGATGAATTAATAAACCCCTCAGCCACCCATAACTTGACGAGTTTTGAAACATGGATCTCGTAATCTTCTGGAAAAGCTCCCATGTATAAGAAACACGGCCTCAAATGATGAGGTAAGTTGTTGTAACTCAAAGTTAGTATCGCTTCAAACCGTCCATCTTTTGTAGCAACAACTGATTTTACATTTCTTGCAAATTTCTTCCACAAAGATTGATTATTACCGCCCTTGAATAGGACTCCTGCAATCACCACAATTGCAAGCGGCAGTCCTCCGCAGCTTTTCGCAATCTCCTTTCCAATGATTTTCAATTCCAGTGGATAATATTCTTCTTTAAACACTTTCTGCCGAAGCAGATTCCAACTTTGTTCGTCATCTAAGAGATGCATCTTATGAACATGGCTAGAAGAGTCGGGATAAGAGGCAACCTCTCCCAACCTTGTGGTTTGTATGATTCGACTTCCATTATTGTCATTCGGAAATAACCTCCTCACACCATCCCATACCTTTGTACTCCACATATCATCCAATACAATCAGATATCTCTTACCCTTTAAGCTTTTGTAAACACTCTCCACTGTAGTTGACTCATTGCTCCCTCCTGGTACCGGTCTTTCTGGGCTGATGGAAGCTAAGAGCCTCGAGAAAACATCTTGTGCAACGTAATCTTGAGAAATAGTTACCCAAGCACGAATGTGAAAATGCTCGGTGATTAACGGATCGTTGTAAGCGTGTGCAGCAAGAGTAGTCTTACCAATACCTCCCATGCCAACGATTGGAAGGACTTGTAATTTCGAAGATTGTCCACAAAGCATCTCATATATGGCCATCAAATCATCATCAAAACCAACCATGGCTTCTTTCTTGCGGGAGGATTGAAATCTTAAGGATGAAGTAACAACGTTTGACTCGTAATTACCGAGCGGGACCCTTTTCATCCTATCTACCTCTCCAGAGATCGAATCAATTTGCATCATTAATCCGCTAAGCTGGGATCTGAACTCAACCTTCACCGCGTGCTTGATGTATCCGTAGCGCATCCTCGACAACTTAAAATTTTCAATCATATCTTTGGTGTGGATTGCTACATTCCTGATTCGTCCTTCCAAAATGTTGTTGACTTTCTCTGGAAATTCTCCAAGAAATTCTCTTAGTGAAGTAATATTTGTGCTCATAGATATGATTGGTGACTTGTCATAAAGAGAAAAGGAATAGATATCACAATTTAGGATGTGGTCTATGGTTTGTTCAAGAGAAAGAAGAGCAGCAAAAGCCATTTTACTTCCTTCTGACAAGATTAACAAATTAATGAATGGGAAATAAGAAACAAAGCTTTAGAGAGAAATGAATTGGAAGGAATTTTGAGAGAAATGATAGTAGTTCACACGATGAATTACCAAGCTGCTTTTGAATATTATATAGGGTAAATTCCACTTTCTTCCCTTTTACTTTGGGTCGATAACACTTTACCCCCTTCTACTCTCGATTGCATCGATTTGCCCCCCCCCCCCTTACTTGAAAAATTGTCTCAATGTGGCCCTCGTTGTTAGTTGTCAAACATTTGACTTTAACACCGTTTAGTCTAAGCTCTGAAATTACAAAAACACCACCACTCCCAATTTAAATAATTATTAAAAAACAAAAAATAAATTAAAAAAACAAAAAAAAATTAATACAAAAATTCAAGACAACGACAAAGCATAGTCCACGACGGCAGCGACAATTTATTTTTAATTTTTTTTTTAATTTTCTTAATTTTTTTAATAATTATTTAAACTGGGAGGGGTGTTTTTTTTTGTAATTTTCAGACTTAGATCAAACGGTGTTAAGGTTAAATGTCTAAATTAACGGCGAGGGCCACAATGAGACAATTTTTCAAGTATAGAGGGGCAAATCAATACAATTGAAAAAAGAAGGAGGTAAAGTGATATCGAGCTAAAATACAAGGAGGGAAGTGGAATTTATCCTATTATATATGGAGTGTATGGCATTAATTACTTGCACATAGTTTTGACTAATTCCCAAAAAAACAAGTTGATGAAGTCTTTTCAGATCTCTTAACCTTAAAATACAATATCTTTTTTAGATTATATTTTGAGTAGTTGGTACAATAACTTGTTTACATGACTCCAAACTATCAATTGTTATATTTTCTTCTTGAAGGAATTTCCAATAATGACCTATTAAATATTGTTGTCTTGTTCGGATTCACAAAAAGGGAAAGATGTGAGATGCTTCTGCTTGGCTCACTTTTCAAACAATTACACTAGGTTTGTCCGGAGAAATTAGATGTTACCCGTGGTTATTTATACTAGGTGATTATGAACCGTAGATTTACTTATAATCACACACACGTCCATGTGTATGTGTGTTTGGTGGGTAGTTATTTAATTAAGGGGAAAGTACAGTTTGCACCCCTGAACTATGAGGCTTGTCTTAAATACCCCCTTGAACTACAAAACGTAACAAAACGCCCCCTTGTCATTTTTGGTCAACTTTGGAAAACTAACACCGTTAACTTTTATGTGAATTTACTTATTTGCCCTTAAATGTATTTAGAAAATTTGTACCATCCCTACCCAACGTTTCTTTCTCCCATCCATGCACCTCCCCACATCACACCCATCACAATCCTCTCTCCAATTCTCCATCCAAAGCTAGTGATATCCCATAATTGATTGACCGGCCAAATACAAGTGCATGAACCGCATGGAGGCGGAGATCGGCGATTCCACCACACGATACACAAATGAAGCGGCGGAAGTGGCTAAAAGGGGGAGGGAACAAATCGTCTGGAAGCGAGAGGTGGCGGGTCTGCATTTGGTTACAATCGTTGGCGGCGAGGGTTTTCGGCGGCGCCGCATACCTGTTGCTTGAATTTCGTATGTGGTGGTTGTTGGCCGAAAACCTAAACGCAAGTGCACGTATCGTACAAGTAATATAGTGGACTAAAAGTCCGGATATCGAACCCACAGGGAATATTTAATTATCTAATCCTAGACGCTAAATTCTACCAATTATTATCAAGCCCACCCTACACAGTCGACTTTAGAGAGATTTAACTAAATTAAAATAAATTAAAAAGCAAATTAAAAAGACAATAGCACGAAAGCAATTAAAAACGAAGGTTTAATCAGAGTAAACAAGCCTAGGATTTTATTCTTCCCCCTATGTGATTATTATTCCCCCAATTCCTTCAAGTATGCAAGTAATTAACCCGGATTATTAACCTGAGATGCTAAAATAATCATAACCCGCTTCCGCGTGTATTACGATTCTAATACTCTAGATTCAATTACTATATTCCTATGCAATTAATTCTCGAACACAGCATTAAGCACAAATCTCAATAATGGCTACCTAAGAGATTAACTATATTCCTATGTTAATTCCACAAAGGCTCTTCTACCACAGTTCTAATTATTAACCCGATCTTCCTATTCATGCGATTAACAATAACATAAAAGCACATAAGTTGATCAAGTTCATGCACTTAATAAAAAAAGTAGAAGAAATAATCCGGAATTCAAACTTGCATAAAATCATAGAATTGGGTTCATAAATCCCACATACGGTTCCAAATAAAATCCTAGAAATAAGAAAATTAGCTACTCATGATTAAAGGAAAAACGCAAATAAAATAAGTCATAAACGATAGATTAAATCTATGCTTAGAGTCTTCGAATTCTTCGTCTTCGTTATTGCTTTATTGCTCTTGAAATTGCGTAAAAAAAGATCCCCAATTGTGTGTTTGGCTTGGTCTTATATAGGGTGAAAAACTTGGGGAAGAAGGCAGTTTCCTTGTGCAATTAAAATCCCTTTACTGCGCTGCCTCGGGGTCTCGGACGGCCGTCCCATAATTTGAACTAAAACTCGGACGGCAGTCCGAGCTTTAAATCTTCAGAATTTTGATTTTTTTCACTTTTGGCCCATATTTTCTCCAAAATTGCAGTTTTGACTCCATACTTTTCCAATTCTTCAATTTGTACCTAAAATACAATAAATCAACTTTTGAAGCACCAATTATCGTTAAAACACACCAAAAGCTCAAATAAAAAGGTACGATAAAGTGTAAAAATATACACTTAACACACCCCCAAACTTGAACTTTTGCTTGTCCTCAAGCAAAATCTACCAATAAGCAAATAACTCAACTACTACATCTCATTACATAGATCAATGATCAACTTCACGTTTTCAGAACTTGTAATTATAATGACAATTCTTGGGCATTCGCAAGCTCAAAATTCAACAACACTTAGTCACTCACCATTACCAAAAACCACAATTCATACAATTGCTTCAAGCATCCAATATTTGCAAATTAAAGATAGAAAGAATTTATACTTACATGCATATATTTGACTCCAAATACTCACCAAAGTATTCTAATCTACTAATATCGAACATTAAGTTATTGGGATCATTGGGGCTTTGTGGCTTTCAATTGTTAGGCTCTTTGGTTCGAGGTAGGAAATATGGGTATATGTGGCTATTCTTCTTGAATTGAGGTGATTACGCCAAAATTTGAAAGATAGGCGTTTGAAACAATGAATTCACCTCTAAGGACTTTAATAAACTCGATTCTTAAGAGTTCAAAAGTCTCCACTTTTGCTCTTAAGGCAATGGATCGAGCTTTCAAAACAATTCAACAACTAGTCCTTATCTCTCCCTTCTAGTCTCTTCTTCTTCTCTTTTTCTTTTTGTTTTTCTTTTTTTTTTTGTTTTTTTTTTTTCGAAGAAGAAGAATAAAGACCTTATAAAAAAATTCGACCGAACTCCAAGGGTAATTTTTCAAGAATCTCCACCTATTCAACCTTATATACGTTGGCTAAAAGAAAGAACACCTTTTCTCCGAGGCTCAAATCAAGGTTCTAAGGAATTTCGATAAAAAGGTCGGCTTGAAAGGCTCAAACGGTTCAAAGAAGGCCCAAATCATATCCCAAATCACTCACTACTCAATACTTCGTATCATAAATTTCCTAAGGTGAGTTTTAAAACCGAACATAGCATGATCTAGCACAAATTAATTCCAAATTTAAAATACAAAACATTCAACCAAAGCAATGCACAAAGTGTGATTCCTAGCAATAATTCGCTTCTAAGTTCCGTTGAATCGAAAGCTAAACAAACATCTAATCCTTATCACACAAAACAAGCAATCTCATCATCAAACATTGATCATCTCTCATCATCATAAATCATTGATGCATTCGACTCAAGCAAATTATTATTATTATTATTATTTTTATATTCCGGAAAAAATGAGAAAAGTAATAAAAACAAATAAAACCTAATGCATGCAAACTAAAACAAATAAGCACAAAAACATGTTTTTCACCCCCAAACTTAAAATTTTCGTTGCCCTCAACGAAATTAGCACAAAGTTTAAGGATAGAAAACACCTGATTTAGTCGGAGTCGATGTGATCGGGGTGCTCCTCCATCGTTCTCTCACGCTCGTCCTCATCGGAAAACTCGGGTACGGGCGGTGGCACTTTTCTTTCTCTTTCCCTTCCCTTTGGAAGATGATGCTTCGCGCATGCGGCCTCGTTTGTTGGACGACATAGTTGGGAGAGAGGTTGGAATAGATTCGGTGAGAATTGGTTGACAATCGAACTCAAAATTTGGTTGGAGCAAATTGTCGAACACCTTGTGGGCGTGCCTTGAAAGAGTAGATTTTGGAGAATTTGGTTTGATTCTCTAGCCTCCTTGTGTGTGGGATTTGGAGAGAAGGAACGAGGAGGGTTTAGCCAATAATGGGGGGAGAAAATCTGATTTTTTTAAATTTAAAACGCCCCAAATAGGTTCGGACGGCCGTCCCGGTGTTTGTGCTAAATGTCGGACGGTCGTCCGACATTGTTTTCTCCTTACTGGTCGTGGGACGGCCGTCCCACATTTACACATATTTTTCGGACGGCCGTACCATGGGCAGAGATGACAATTTTTTCGTTATGTTTCCCAGACGGCCGTCTGGGATTTTGCTTGCAATTTCGGACGGCCGTCTCGACCCCCTGACCATGTTTTTCGACCCTGAAAATTAAAATTCAAATAAATTAATTAGAATGCATGCCTATGACAATAAAAACGAAACGAAAAATTAAAGAAAACTACGAAAAACAATAAAGCTCGGGTTGCCTCCCGAGAAGCGCTAAGTTTAAAGTCTTCAGCCGGACGTTGCTTCTTTATTTTCAAGCAAAAGTGACCGAAGTCACTTGGCAATCTTCACTCGCTTCCCAATACAGTTTGAGCCGGCTCCGCTTCACGTTGAACGTACG